GTCTTCGTTTTATAATAATTGTGTTTGTAATAATCCTGAATTTGATATTTTTCATTGTAGTTTCTCTCAGTTTAAGTCTATCACATTTGAGTCTTTAAAATAAATATTGTGTAAGTTTTTATATTTTATATTTTCATCCTGTAATTGGTGTATACACTGTTGGATGTGCAATAAATAAATAAATAAATAAATATACTCAAACTTTACCATGTGCTTTAATTTTTTTCAGATAGCTGTCGTCACTGCCACTGCCGCCAATAGAGACCGGAGCAGATGTGAGGTCAAACCCGGTGTTAGATGCATATCGGTTGGTATGGTATGACAAAGCGTCTAGAAGAACAATGTTTCGCAAGGGCATCACGGATTGAGGCAATATCAAAAATATTTTATCTTGTAGAACTGAAAAATAAACCTATACCGTACCGGTAGTAATCTTATAAAAAAATGAAATAGTAGGCCTAAGCATAATAATGTCATAGATAATGTGTTTCATTGTGATAATCAGGTTTTTCAGCTGCATTACTTACCCCCGCTATCACCTTTAGCTAAAATAAGGTAATGATCTTCATTCAAGTTGAAAAAGTTTTGTAGGCTCTCGTCGCTGAGTTGTCTTGTGAATGAGCACGTGAGGACACCATCATCAACATTGACATTTTTATTGCTTAAACCACCCTTGAATATATGAAAATAGTTGGATATATTTAAAGGCTGGCCACCACACACTACTTCTCATGACGGTTGTACTGCCGTCGGCGGCCGACAAATCCATGTACTGAGAACTCAACAAATATCAGGCAAGTTATATTAACTTGCAATTATTTAAACAAAGAAGTATTTTTAGAAGTTCACTGTAAATTTATTTAGGACAAAACAATAGTAAATACAATTTTTATTTTTCAAAATAATACGATATCGTTGTATAAAGTTAATTCTATTTTTTTAAATTGTTCCCTCTTTTTGAATGCAATTCGTTGTTCTTGCAATTCTAATGATTTTTTTAACTATGGAATGTCATTTTTTCTTGAACTTTTAATAATATTAAGTATAGAATATTTTAATTGTTCTGTTATTTTATTTCATTATAGTTTATATTTTGTACATTTTGTTTTCTCTCTGTGTAGATACAAATTGCTTTTTTCCCTGGACATTTGGTACACATGGTTAAATGTTGCTGCTGTAATCAGCGCAGGAGCAGGTAGCCCACCAGGTACCCACTTATACTCTTGGGTAGAGAGTAGCAAGGCATATAAAGTGCGTTGCTCAAGGACACAAGCAATTTTTACAGCGTGGGATTGAAACCCCGATCTCTAGGTTGGGAAACTAAACTGTTCCCGCTTAGCCAAACAGCTTCTTCTTTCATTATTTAGGATTTTTTAATCTGCATTTGAATTTTTTTTAAGAAGGCCCTTCAAGTCAGCATTGCTGTCAGAACCACTCTCTCAATATATTGTTGGATAAATAAACAAAAGAATGAAGAAGCAAATAAATGGCATTTTTAATACTTACAGCATCCTGTTGGGTTGGAGGAATATTTCCTGTAGCGTAGTAACGATCTACAGCGCCATTGGACAAGCAGCCGACAATGTCCGAGTTTGGCTGAAGAAAGACATGTATAATCAATTAGATTAAAAGATTAATAGAAATAGTAACTAAAAATTAAAGTACATTCTTAGTTAAAATGTGATATCCAGAGCCATGTATTCCCCCACCCCATCTTTTTTTTATTTACTAAGCCAAAGTTTAAGTAGGCCTATCTCATTGACACATACAGCTAGCAAAATAGTTCTAAGATCGATTAATGCATGCAAAATCAAACGTATAACATCTAATTTTAATTATTTTGTAATCACATAAACCAGTGTTTTGTCTTACTATAATATCATTAAATTATTAACATGTGATCATGATAATTTGTTTAATGTAATTGTAATAACGAGATGGCCATAGAAAGATAACGCTCAGAGAATGTGTTTAATACACCGTCCCGCCCCTTGGATTTTGTTTTAAATTTCCATAAAACATTGGTCAATTATTGTAATATTTTGATTGCCACTCTATAAAGAGCCATTACGTTAGTAGAAACCTTTTTCTCCTTGCAGGCTTAATCATAGAAATGATAAGCTGTGTATCACACTTACCATTTTATTATCCTTTGAGAATCCGATGGCGATGTAACCACTACTACTCTTGATGCTGAACTCAAAATCCAATGCATCTCTACTCGGGGAAACGGACCATCCCACAAAATATGTGCACACAGAGGCAGGAAAGCAATTGGCAGGTGATCGAAAACAAGACTGAGAAATTGCGCAGGTATCACCCTTTTGGAAAAATTAAAGATATTGTCATCAGGGGTGGCGCTAGGATGTTTCCCGACTGGTGTCCAATGTCACTGAAGGGCGGCCGATGTTCCCGACTAGAGCGTAACGGGCGAGGTCGGGCCCGCGTCGCCCAACATTTGGAGGTGGAATGGGGACGAAGCCCCAGAACACTGAAAAATTGTGGGTTTCAAATGCATATTATATCGTTCCACTAATATGAAAAATAAAATAAATACATTTTCCCCCGCTGCGCCACCCCTGATTGACATACAATAACTATCCTAAGTTGTGCAGGAAACGCAGATTGCAATACTATACCTTATAAATATTAATTATGTATTTACAACATTTAATTGGTCATTAAATGTCATTTTATTGGTCATAACTTAATAAATATTTATTATGTAATGACATTTAATTGATCAATTCGCCTGGTTACTCGATACGGTATTTGGTCTACTTTATGAGTACACATTATTAAGGGTGAAATAGTACTACCCTATTATTCGACCACCTGTACCGCCTGCCTGGAAAGGTATCCTGTTGCCATACCATAGGCTTTGGCAGGGGTACCATGCTTGTCAAGTAGCATAGGAACGGTTCCTAGCGTAGTAACTTACATTATCGTTGATAGAAATATGTATTTTGTATATAGACACCTTCGTAGTTTTTGTTTTTTTTTTGTTTTGCTTTTTGTTTTTTTATTTAATCTTTTGTTTCTTTTTCTTCAATCATTATATATGCTATAATTCAGCATTTTAAAAAGATGTTTCGTCTGCGTCGATCTAGAACATTTCTGAAGTAGTGCTGAATTAACATCCTGAACTGAAAACATTTTATTCGGAATTTTACTGTGTATAAGTATGTGATGTGCTACAAACTTTCAATTCAAATCGTAATGACAATTTTCTTTATTTTACAAATGAAAAATATTAATAAAATATATAAAAAATAAAATATATAATAGTCTTATATTATTCGTTAGTCTTTATATTTACTGTAGGTTCTCCAGGTTGCTGTGTTGTCACTGTGACATCAATAGAGATCGGAGCAGATGTGAGGTTATAACCAGAGTCAGAGAAATATCGGTTGCCCATATGGTATGACAAAGCGTCTGCAAGAACAATGTTTACAGCACGGGTATCATTATTCAAAGAATCCGAAGGCCCAACGATTGACACAACGTTAAAACTATTTTATGTTTTTTTCACTTATCACTGATTATATACCGGTAGCACTCTTGTTGTTAAGAAATACACAATATAAAATGTCAAGGATAATATTGTTTTGCTTCAAAGATTTTATCAGCAATGTCACTTACCCCCGCTATCACCTTTAGCTAAAATTAGGTAATGATCTTCATTCAAGTTAAAGAAGTTTTGTAGACTCTCGTTGCTGAGTTCTCTTGTGAAGGAGCACGTGATGACACCATCATCACCCATAGTGACATTTTCATTGCTTAGACCACCCTTTAATAAATAAAAATAGTTGTATATTTAAAGCCTGGCCACCACACACTGCTTGAGCGACGGTTGTACTACCGTCGGTCGAAAGCTCACTAATATAGGCCGGCAAGTTATATTAACTTGCAGTTTTTAAAACAGGGAAGTATTTTTGAAAGTTCACTGTTTATTTAGAGCAAGACAGAGTAAATAAAATTTTCGATTCTCAAATGACCGTTTAGTTAGCTTTATTGCACTATGATATCCCCTCGACCGTATTGATATTTTCTTCCACAGCTACGCCAAACTTCGTTGGATTGTTCTCCAGATGGAGTCTTGAGTTTTTGAGGGTGGTGGTTGTTCTCCTTGGCGTGGCCGTTAAAGCCTTTTTATCTTCTATATTGTACTTTTATACTTATATTTTTTTATATAAATTTATATGTTTTTATTACGTAATTTATTCTCACCTGTAAGTGGCGATTTTTCGCTGTTGGAAGAAGAATTAAATAAATAAATAGGCCTATTAATTTTATTTTTAAAATTGTTCCCACCTTATGAATGTAATTCGTTGTTCTTGCAATTCTAATGATTTTAAATATAAAAATAATAATTTTTTTTTCTTGCAATTTAAATGATATTAAGTATAGAATATAATTCTTCTCATATTTTATTTTATTATAATAAAAAAATTTTAAAATCTGTGGAATTGTTTTGAAAGAAGGCCTCTTCAAGTCAGCATTGCTGTCAGAACCACCCTATAAAAATATTGGCAGATAAATAAACAAATGAATGAAGAAGCAAAAAAATGACATTTTTTAAAATACTTACAGCACCTTGTGGTGTTGGAAGCATTCTTTCTGTAGCATAGTAACGATCTACAGTGCCATTGGATAAGCAGCCGACAATGTCCGAGTTTGGCTAAAGAAGGACATGCATAATTAATTAAACAGAAATAGTAAATAAAACTTAAAATACACTCTTAATTAAAAATATAATATCAAGAGGCACATGCATTCTCTTTTTTCTATCTGCTTAGCCTAAGTTTAATTATATCTAGTTGATACAGTCATACAGCTAGAAAAATAGTACACTGTAAAAACAGCGTGGAGCCTTTAAACACAAAGCTCCACGAAGTTTTGTCCTGTTTTTGGTGACACTGTCTAATTTTAATTGTTTTGTAATCACATAAAAAAAGTGTTTTGTTTTACTACAATATCATTAAATTATTAACATGTGAATAGCATGATAATTTGTTTCATTTAATTGTAATAATTACAAGATGACCATGTGTAGACTTGGAGGAAAATAACGTTTAGAGAATCTGTGTAATACACCGTCCCGCCCCGCCTTGGATGTTGTTTTTAAATTTCCACAAAACTACAGTGAAACTGTGTTTTTCTGGCCCTGCTCTTATTGGTCAATTGTTGCTTATAAAGAGCCATTAAGTTAGGAGAAACCTTTCTCTATGCAGGCTTCATAATAAGCTGCTAGCACACTTACCATTTTATTATCTTTTGAGAATCCAATGGCGATGTAACCACTACTGCCTGAGAATGTGAACTCAAAGTCCAATGCATCCCCACTCGGGGAACGGGACCATCTAACAAAATATGTGCACGTAGAGGCGGGAAAGCAATTGCCTGGTGATCGAAAACATGACTGGGAAAATCCGCAAGTATCAACCTATTGGAAAAACAACACATTGTCATCGTGGGTACGTACGCGCCAGGATTTGCTTGACTGGGGTTTAATGTCGCCGAAGGGTGGCCGATGAGAGCGTAGGCATAAGTGGGCAAGGTCGGGCGCTTCGCTCAACATCTCACGGTAGAGGAGTAGGGGCAAATCCCCAGAAAACTGAAAAAAAAAATAGGGATTTAAAATGCTCATTTAATCGTTTTTAGAGTCCACTATTACGAAAAATACTTTTGTTTCCTCTCCCGACTGCGCCACCCCTGATTGACATGCACTAATTATCCTAGACTGTTTATTACTATGCCTCATAAATATTTATCATAAAATGACAATGTTTAGTCGGTCATTAGCTAATAAATATTTATTCGCTAATGTCATATTAATCATAACTTAATAAATATTTATTAATGACATTTAACTGATCAATTCCCCTGTTCCCCTGTGATCAAATACCCAATACGGTATGTGACCTACTTCGCGAGAACACATTAAGAAGTATATAAAATAGTAGGGCCTATTTCTTATTAATCCTGTACCACCACCACCGCCACCTGTCTGGAAAGGTATCATGTTAGGCATACCATAGACTTTGGCAGGGGTACCATAGTTATCAAATACATAAGGAACGGTTCCTAGCCTGGTATCTCTCCAAGTACGTTTTGATATGGTACTTCGTATATTTACACACTTTTGTAGTTTTTTACACTTTTATTTTTTTTCATAATTATAAATTTAGTGTTTTAAAAGACGTTCCGCCACCGTTGATCTAAAACATTTTGAAAATCGAATACTGAAATGTTGATCTGACAACCTCAACGGAAAACATTTTATTATCCGAAATTTTACTTTGTAGATGTATGAATGTGCTGCAAGCTTCAAATTCAAATCGCAATGACAATTTTCTTTATATTATTATCCTTTAACACAATTTTTTTTTCGCTGCTGTTTTGATGTGATGTGTCCGTGTTTTTTTAAAAATTATTATTAATATTTAACAACTCAGTTTTGTAATTCAGATTTCTGCAAGATGCTGTTTTATGTATAAATTATGTGAAAAAATATACTGTACCGGAGATTTGAGATCATAAGCCGAGTCAGAGATGTATCGGTTATTCATATGGTATCCAATAGATTCTGAAAAAAAAAAAAAAAAAAAAAAAAAACAATATTTACTGCACAGGTATTATTATTTAAAAAAAATATTTTAAGAATCCAAAGACCCAACGATTGACACAATATTAAAACTATTTTATCTTTTACAACTGATTAATTAATCTATACCTGTAGCTGTCTTGTCAAGAAATACAAATAAAATAGACATAGCCATGATAATGTCAAGGATAATATATCTTTTGCTTCAAAGATTTTATCAGCAATATCACTTACCCCTATCAAGACCACCTTTCGCTAAAATTATGTAATGATCTTCATTCAAGTTAAAGAAGTTTTGAAGGCTCTCGTTGCTGAGTTCTCTTGTGAAGGAGCACGTGAGGACACCGTCATCACCCATAGTGATAGTTTGATTGGTTAGACCACCCTTTAATAAATATAAATAGTTTGATATTTAAAGCCCGTCACACTGCTTCGCAAGACGCGGTGGCCCTACCGTCGGCCTACAAATCCATGTACGGAAAACTCACCAAATATCCGGCAAACTATACTAACTTGCAGTTTTTAAAACAATGAAGTATTTTTAAAAGTTCGCTGTTTATTTAGGAAAAGATAGAGTAAAATACAACTTTAGATTTTCAAAATGATCGTTTAGTTTCTTATAATATACCCCGATATCGTTGCATATTAATTTTAATTTTAAAATTGTTCCCTCTTTTTTAATGCAATTCGTTGCAATTCTAATGATTTCAACTATGGAATATAATTTTTGCTTGCAATTTTTATGATATTAACTATAGAATATTTGAATTTTCTTATATTTTATTTCATTATTATTATTATTATTATTATTATTATTATTATTATTATTATTATTCACATCATTCATATAGTGCCTTTTCTTTGCAGATACAAATCGCTTTTTCCCCTGGTCATTGGGTACACATGCTTAAATGTTGCTGCTGTTAATCTGCGCATGAGTGAGCAGGCGACCCCGCCAGGTACCCATTTATAGGCCCTACGCCTGGATAGAGAAAAGCAATGCTTTTGCATTCAAAGACACAAGCGAAATGCACTGTAACAGCCTGGGAATGAAACCCCGAGCTCGAGTTGGGAAACCACACTGTTCTTGCTGCGCCAAACCACTTCTTCTTTCATTATTTATGATTCTTCTTCTTTCATTATTTATGATTTTGAAAGAGGGCCTATTCTTCAAGTCAGCATTGCTGTTAGAACCAGCCTCTCAAAATATTCTCAGATAAATAAATAAAAAAATAAATGAAGAAGCAAATAAATGACAATTTTAATACTTACAGCATCCTGTTGTATTGGTGGCATTCGTTCTGTAGCATAGTAACGGTTTACAGTGCCATTGGATAAGCAGCCGACAATGTCCGAGTTTGGCTGAAGAAAGACATGCATAATCAATTAGATTAGACTAATAGAAATATTAACTAAAAATTAAAATACATTCTAAGTTAAAATGTAATATCCAGAGGCATGTATTCTCTTTTTTAAGTTTAATTACCTCGTTGATACATACAGCTAGCAAAATAGTAGATCAACTTAATAATGCATGCAAAATCAAACGCACACAAGGAGATAACATATAATTTTAATTGTTTTGTAATCACATAAACCAGTGTTTGGTTTTACTACAATATCATTAAATTATTAACATATGAATAACATGATAATAACATAATAATATAAATATATATAGGCATATATATATAGGATAAGAGACAGGATGTATCATGAATAGAGTACATGTTTTGATATGGATTACATCCTATATGAAATACACAAAAAAGAAAAACAAAGAAAATGAAATCCTCATCGTTAAGAGTCAAATTGGCAAGATTAGTTTAAAATAGGCTAGGCCTATGCTGTTTTTCACTGGATTATGGGGAAAAAATTCTGGCTTATTGCTCAAAAGGTGTCAAAATGTAAAGTTGAATTATTTGTTCTATTTTTTAGAGTGCTGTAGATGGTAGATGTTGTAATACAGTGGAAAAAAATATTCCACTAATAGGGGTTATTTGATGATTTGGCACACTCAGAAAGTGTCCCCGTCCCCTTAATAGTTTCTCCTTAACAGGGGTTAATTGTAGTGTTAAAATATTCATTGCCCGTTATTTCACGGAAAGTGTTCCCTTTATATGAGTGTCCTCTGAATAGGGGTGTCCCAAAGGAGGGGTTCTACTGTATTTTAATCGTAAGGTTTTAAATTTTCTTGAATCCTAGAGTAATCCGAAAGTTCCTAAATGCTTACAAGATGATCAAGCATGTCAGTGCATGTTAATCAGTCTAAAACTAAAAATATATTTTAAAATAGTATACAGCTAACTGCTTATGTTTGTCTTGCATGTCTATTGTACACTGTAAAATTTGACGAAAACAGACTAAAATCGATTGTAAATAATAATAGGTAATTCGTTCGAAGTTTGTTTTCAATATTACATCCTGTTCCATTTCGATGAAAATGTTTTAGAATTGTGCTGTATAACGCTCCTATAGTTGATGTATGAAAAAACAACAGAAGGTTCTGATTGTTTACAAGTTGACCAAAGCCAACAGTGTGTTATAGAATTACTATTCAAACAGAGAGCACTACGCTGATAATGTCTTTATTCCCACAGCTACTTAGATATGAAAGACCTTCACTCCAGATGAAAATGTATGTGTACAGATTCTTGAGTGTATAAATAGACAAATATTGTACATAAATAATCCAGGTAAATGGCGAAAGACGGAGCCTTCTGACTAGTTCCATTATCATTAGTCCAAATATTTTAAATACTCCTCTACCACGAATTGTTTTATTGATATTGACTCATCTAATTCATATAATCATTTTAACATTTTCATCGGATTCCTAGAGGAAGATTGTTGAACTAATTTAAGTGGATGGAGGCTGGGTCGCCGAGGTAGCATGGGTGGATTATTATATAGGGTCACCATTTCAACACGTTTGAATTCGAGGGTCTAATGATTTTAATGAGATAATGTTAATTATCAAACTTATTTTTTGCAGTTTATCTTAATAACGTACATAGTATCTATGTTTTTTGTTGGATTATTTGAATATAGTTGTATTTATATTTATATTAATGAAAGCATTCGTACATTCTGTTATTGCAAAGTAGTATGTTTATACCCGTAATGTCAATAATACTCTATGATGGTAATAATAGATATAAAAGAAGTTCTGTTACTCAAGAAAATACCTAAATTGATTAAGTTTCAGATAGAATTTTATTTTCATAAGAATCGTTACAATGTTATAAAAATTGTTGTCACAAATTACAAAAAGTATTGAAAAAATGAAGTGCATTAAAATTAATAATATTAAAGTAATTAACCAGAGTATTTTACTTTAAATGTTCAAGTTAATTAGATCGACAGACATGGCTACATTTAAATATATTTCACGACGTAAGTGAATAAGACATATTTTTATAACCTTACCATCAATTGATCTTTAGAGAACCCGACTGCAATGTACCCATTCGCCCCAGACATGCTGAATTCCATGTCCAAAGCATTTCCGCTGTTTGAAAGGGACCAGCCTACGAAGTACGTACATGAAGTGGCTGGAAAGCAATCCGTTGGCTCCCGGAAACAGTTCTGAGACACTCCGCACGTATCAGCCTTTAAGAAGAGAAAATGTGATGTGCCCATATAAGGTATGATAACGTCATATCACATAGTATTAGATTGTATCAAAAAAAGTGTTCAATTTTTATGTTCCATCACATTTTATGTTACGGTTCTTTGATGAAATTTGATAGTGTAGACAAAGCTTTAGACATGTTTCTTAAAACCCAGAGTTCACATCATCAGCAACAATTAGAATTCAAGTACTCGAGTATAAAAAGCAATTGAATTCTGAGTATGCAAATTAACAACTTATTTATGAAAATCAAGGTATTTATTACAGTAATGCCAATTAATTATACAGGTACATTATTTTTGGTACATGCAACAATAGATGGGCAACTATGCACACACAAACATCGACTGAACGTCCCATCTGGAGAACGATGTAAAAAAAGTAAGAAAGGTAAGAAGCGAGAACTGCAATGACCATGGCAGGTCTGAAATCCAAGTGTTCACCGAAAGTATAGAAATATCTTAATAAACCTTTCCGCTAAACCCCCCAACTTAGATGTTGTTGGTCCAACAAAAACGACAGTGTAAAACATACGCAAACATGTGCATATCTGTGGGACATACGTGTTTGTGAGGGCTGAGTCTATCGGCACTGCCGCAGTGCGAAAAAAAGCTGCTGTTTTCTATCGGCACTGCCGCAGTGCCAAAAAGCTGCTGTTTTCTATCGGCACTGCCGCAGTGCCAAAAAAGCTGCTGTTTTCTATCGGCACTGCCACAGTGCGAAAAAAGCTGTTATTTTCTATCGGCATTATTGCCGCAGTTCGATAAAAGCCCCGATTTTCTATCGGCACTGCCGCAGTGCCAAAACACTGCAGTTTTCTATCGGCACTGCCACTCGAAAAGCTGCTGTTTAATTATCAAATAGATGTTTTTATCATAGATTATGTTATCAATAATTGGTTAGGTCTAGCCTAGCCTATAATATTGTTAACATTATATTATATATGTTTTATAATTAAATTATAATGATTTCTAATTAATTAATATATACATAGCCTATATCTAGGCCCATACATAAAACAAAACATAAGACAACAAAAATTTAAAAATAAGATAGTAGTAATAATAGTAATAATAATAATAATAATAATAATAATAATAATAATAATAATAATAATAATAATAATAATAATAATATAATAACAGTGCTCGAAATGAATAAAAATTGTTTAATTAATGAGACGAATCAGCATATATTAAATCAACTTGCGTCTATGCAAAACCTGTTTTTTTTTTTAAATAAAGTTATCTATTTTATTCTTCTGCTTTAAAAAATAATCTTATAAATTATAAGTTTATTTTCTATGATAATTTTATCCACATAATTCATGTTTTCAATGTTAGTATGGTTGATAAATAATACATAAAATAATAATAATAATAATAATGAAGGTGCTCGAATAATGCTTTAATAAAGAATTAATACTTCAATAGGCCTATTTGCGATAGTGTGATTAATGAGATATTTGTTGATTAATTTATAGAAATATATAATAGGTATAGGCCTATACCATTAATAATGATTCAGCATATTAAATCAACTTACGTCTATAGATGTAAAATCTGGCTTTTTTTTCAATAAAATGTTACCTATTTTATTCTGTTTAAAAAAATAATCTTATAAAATACTGTACATTATAAAGTTTCATTGTAAATTATATGAGAATTTAATCCACATAATTTATGTTTTCAATTATTTAAGCATTTAAACAATTCAGTGGGCCTAACG